TTCAACTTTTTGCATAATTCTATCACAGAAGGAGATAGATTAGCATCAGCCTTTCTAGAGAAAGTTCATAATGAGAAGAACTCATCAAGAGCTTATTCAACCTTTTGAATGACTCTATCACAGAAAGAAAGAGGTCAACATCATCCCCAGTGGAAAGTTCATAATGAGAAGAACTCATTTGAAAGAAAGAGAAGAATTTATTCAACATCTCCATTATGATCAAGTGAAGCCAAATGGATAAAAAAAATTTATTATCTTTTCATCTTTGCCCTATTCCTGTTAACACAAGAATGAGCAAAGAGGGGCAGCTGAAGATACTAATTTTTTACCCATATTGATTTATTATTATAATTATAATTATTATTATTATAATTACTATAAATATTATTATTATTATTATTACTATAAATATTATTATTATTACTATTATAAATATTATTATTATTATTATTAAATATATATATATATATACATAAATAATATTAAAAAATTACAAGCCCAGTTAACCGGCCCAAACCAAACCGAAACCCTAAACATTTAGGGTTTCAGTTAGGTTTCTCTAACCCTAGCCGCCTCTGCCTCCAGCCGCCTCTGCCCCCAACCGCCTCAGCCAATGGTCCAGCTTCCAGCCGCCTCTGCTGCCAGTACCACGCCTCCATCGAAGCCTCCAGAAGACCCAGATGGCCACCCACGTAGCTACTCTAGCAGTGAGTCACCACTGGGAGTCCGGTGACTCACCGAACTCTATTCTTCGGACCGGTTCGAGATGAGCACTGGTGATGGCTATAAAGCCATCACCCAACCTGCAAAGAAAAAGAAAAAAAAACACGAAGAGGGACAGAAAATACACAGAGAGAAGAGAAATACAGAGAAACAAAATACTAAAAAAAGCTACCAACGATCTCAACAACAACGCAGCAAAGAAACAGAAAAGAAAGAAAAAGGAAGAAAGAAACTTACCGAGGAAGCCCCGGCCACCGGATCTCACCAAAACCTTCGAAAAGCCGAAGGTATATTTCTTAGATTTGCTCCGATCGGGAGCTGTTTAAAAGAAAAGATCATCGGAACCGTCATTAGGACGGTCCGATTTACGTTTCAATGTAAAAAAAAAAAATTTCGGCCACCGAAGACGGTGGCCGGCGGCGGGATTCACGCCGGCAAGCGGCTGCCGGCCGGAGAGCTTCTCTCTTTTCTAGAGAGAAGCGAGAGAATTTCTTTCTCTCAGAAAAGAGAGAGAGAGGGAAGAGAGGAGAAATGAAGCTGGCCCTTCGGGCCAGCTGATTTTGGGCTTAAATAGCCCTTCCCGAACGACGCCGTTTTGGGAAGGGCTATTCGTGTAATTAATAATATTTAAATCCTTTCCGCAGTCCTCAGAATTTGTAAACTTTACATTTTAGTCACTAAATCGAGTTTATAATACTTTTAATTTGATCTTTAAATTTTAATTTTTTTATTTTAGTCCTTTATATTAAAATAATATTTAGGATAAATAACAGATTTAATCCTTTAATTTTAATAAATAATATTTTAATCCTTAGTTTATTTTTTAATTTATTTTATTCTAAAATCTGAATTTTAGATAATTTTATTTTAGTCACTAAATAAATAAAATAAAGAAATAGCATGTTTAATCCCTATAATTTTGATTAATTATGAATTAGGTTTTTAATTTTACTTTTACTATGATTTAGTCACCTATTTTAAATATTTTTTTATTGCTTTTAAATATATAGCTCTAATTATATTTTTTAATTTTACTTGTTTATATATTTAAATATTTTTATTATGTAGCCATAAATAGATATAATAAATAAATATTTATTTTAAATAAATTATTTTAATATTTATTTTTCAATATCGAAGAAAAGGACAGTCTTAATACAACTGGATGTCCTATTCTGGTATTTTAAAATTAAAAATTATAAAAAAATATTATTTAATTTAAATTAATATTTATCAATATCAAAGAAAAGAGCTGTCTTAAGGCACCTAGAAGTTCTTTTCTAATATTTTTAAATATTTTTTATAATTTTGAAATAATAGGATTATAAATTAAATATATTTTGAATTTTTTAAATTTATAATAATAGAGACAATTTATAATTAAAAAGTACCAATTTTGGGCGTTGTAGGGGTGCTAATCCTTCCCTAAACGTAATCGACCACGAATCCCTTTTTATTATTAAAAAGAACGAATTTTTGGTTATAAACGCAGATCAGTTCATTTTTTTTAATTGATGTTTTCTTAAAACTCTTTTAAAGAAAATAATTTTTAGGTATTCGACCTACCTGACCCAAAAGGCCGATGGCGACTCCCAAATTATTTTCAAAACCATTTATTCACATCACTTTTCCCGTCAAGTAAATATTTCGTGCCCGGACGAAAACCAGTTACGACAGTTTGGCAGTCTATTCTTAATAGGTTGACCACCAAGGATCGATTGTTGAATATGGGTTTGGCGGTGGATGACACTTGTGTTATGTGTGGGGTGGCAGTCGAGACGAGAAATCACTTTTTTTTTAGCGTGTGTTTTCGGCCACTGTTTGGGAAAGTATTCTCAGCCTTTTTAACAAGGATAGGAGGGTTGGTTCCCGGGAATTTCAGTTCTCCTGGGTTGTTGCAGCTCTTAAGAGTAAGTCTTTCCTTACGCTTATTCGTAGACTTGTTTGGAATGCGTTTGTTTATCTTATTTGGGAGGAGTGTAATAGGAAAATTTTTAGAAAAATATTTAGGTGTGAGGATGATATTCTTAATTTGATTAGGTTTACTATTCAAGGCCAGCTTCATGGTAGGAATATTAATAAAGAAGGGTAGTGAATTATAAGCTTTCTACAGAATGGGGGCTCTTCGATTGAGTATTGTTTTTTGGGAGTTGCTTGTGTTTTGATGTAGCAGCTTGTTACTTTTTCTTTGGATAATACAAACTTGATTTATCCAAATATATATATATGTATATAAAGAAATTAAAATACTTTACAGATTCGTAAAAAAAAATCCTAGCATTATTGACACAGTAGGAACAAAATTGAACTTATTGCACATTTATGAAGTTCACACATTATTTCTGAAAAAGAAAAGGTTGAGGTTCACACATTCTCAAGGGAATGGTCAACCTAATTACTTCTGACTCATTCTTAGCTCAAAAGTCGAAATTGACTTCCGATCTCAAAGTCCATCCCCATTTTCATTCTACAAACCCAAATTGCTTGCTTTTATATTAAAGTCGTCACTTGTCGGCATTGCTTTTATTTTTAAGTCTGAATACGCCGGCCTAAAATGACTCAGATAATTTCAAGTAAATTTAATTTGAAACAATTCAAGCTGAAATTAAATATCAGAAATCCAAATAAAATAGATTTGTTTAAAAAATAATTTGATAAAAAATAATAGCAAAGATTGTTAATTGGTTTTAATATATAACATTTAAATTGCAAATGCTATTTTGGAATATTATAGAGGATGTAAATACAATTCAATTTTTACAAACTGATATTTTATATGTATTCTCTTATAAATTTATAGTTAATATAATTATGTATTTCTATAAAAAAATATTATGTAAATGCTATTTATGATTCAGTTATTGTTTTTCATGCCAATTAGTCCTGTGAAATAATTGATGTCATGCATTATGCAATTTTAACCAATAAGAATGTTTGGGTTCCTCTTTTATGGGATGGCTAATGGGTAACTCGTTGCCTCATGTCAGCCAAGCATAAATTATTAATTGTTTGGGGAAAAAAAAAGATCGACCCACGTAATCAGATGAAGTCAATCTAGGACTTATGACCTATTAGGTCCAACAATTATTACCAACCGATTAAAAATTAGTTCAATAAAGAAAAAAAAAGTGGGTTAAACACATAGGAAACAAATTTATGTATTGTATTTTGGCATGTCAAACCTAAACATGCATTATTTATCATATTGTTAAGCCAGCTATATATTTTCAATTACTCAAACAATAATAATTGAGTTTGAGGATAAATTTATTTTCATACGTTTAAATTAATAGTTTAATTGCATATTACAATTATTTATTATAATTATGATTGTTTTGGATGTTATATTAAAATCATGTTTTTATTTTGTTGAGGAGTAACATGTAAGATAATAATTCATTTTAAAAAAAATTCTCTGCCTAAGCCCGAATGAGGGAGAAAGTATATTCTTTATCATATACTTCAAATGTTTAAATACCACATAATCATTCACGTGTTGAAGAAAATATAATATTTAGTTAGTCGAACTAAGTTATTATAAATATATTGTTATATCGGAGCCACACAGGAAACAAGTGTGGAAAATGGTGACGTCATGAGGTATGCAAGCTGGAGATATGGTGGCAGCCACGTGGCTTATTAGTTGGGGGATATGGTGATGTCATGCATTATGTAAGCTTGAGCTTGACGGTCCTGACTCTCTCATTCTTAATGTGTGTGGCTTCTATTCATATTACTATAAAAATCTTGGACACGTTTTAATCTCTGGACTTCAGACCACGACTTGACCTTCTCAGCTACACTCTCACACTTCTCTCTCTTAATATTGTTTCCAATGTTATGTCATTCTTCTGAAGCAGCGACAGACCTGGATTATAACTAATAGCGGAGTTAAAAATATTTTTACACTTAATATATATCGATTGTATAATTTTGTTTATAAAAATTGATAAGATCTTAAAATAAATAAATAATTTTATAAAATTCTGATTTGAAGAAAAATATGGATTTGTAATTATCATCCTCTCCCAACTTGATCATTGATTGTAGAAATATTTCCGAAGGCACCGTCCACTTTGATCTTTAATCTTTGACCTCTCCCTTCGGTCTCCATCGATCAGTCCAAATATATATATATTTTTATATGTGATTACATAAAATATTTTTTAAAAGTTGCGTTTTGACTTTTTTTTCTCTCAACCTATATAAGCTGTTCTCTCGTATCCTCGTTGGGTGTCATCTCATTTCATCGCCGCTTTCGACTTCAATCCTTAATATTTGTCCTAAAGGCATGAGTGGTTTTAAAGTAGACGAGAGCTTCGGAAACGGAAGCAACGGCGAAAGGAAGTACAAAGGAGTCCGTCGTCGGAGATGGGGGAAATGGGTGTCCGAAATCCGAGTCCCCGGCAGCCAAGAACGTCTTTGGTTAGGCTCGTATTCGACGCCTGAAGGTGCCGCCATCGCCCACGACGTTGCTTTCTATTGTCTCCGACGACCGTCTTCCTTGAATGCTCTCAACTTTCCAACCATGTTGCCTCCCAATGTCAATGCCAACATGTCCCCCAAGTCTATCCAGAGAGCCGCATCGGATGCCGGCATGGCCGTCGATGCCGTCCGGCTGATGGAGATCACTCCCGTCGAAAATGAGACCGACAAGAGTGTAATCATGGGCGCTTTGACCGAGTCGTGGGATGGAGGAAGGGAGGCTTTGAGCATTTCTGTCGATGATTATCTCGAGTTTTGATACTGCAGTTACGGAGTTACCTCTTTATCCATCTGCCATTATCTTACATGCAGATAAATTTGTACATGCAAACTATGGTTAGGGATTTGTACTGCAATTTCGCTTATTTCTTTCGTGATGAATGACGATCAAAATCACGAAGTAAACCAGCGGTATTCTGATGATTGTTTAAATCCCTTAATAATTCATTAATGAGAACGCAACTGCTTATTTTCTTAATTTACAAGCATTTTGCAGTTACGCCTCAACTTTTGCAATCTCTACCAACTCTATACGTCGTGTAATTGGATTAGTTCTAATTTTACGACTGCGATAGAAGAAGAAGAAGAAGAAGAAAGCTTTTGAATTCAAATCCAACTTATGAGTTGACTTTCAGTAAATTTGACTAAAATTTTAATGACTTGCCTTTTCGGCCGACATATTGCTTATTAATTAATAAAATAATTTTTTAAAGATAGTCTCTAGCTTTACTACAAAAAAAATCATATCATAATAAACTATATAAATTTAATGTAACATTATTAATTATATTATAATAAATTAAAATGCTATTAATTTCGCTGGTGTCATTATCATTAAGATATAATTTAATACTATTATTCAAAGAACTATTACCTTAATTCTAACAATCTCTATTTCATCATATCATCATTATAAATATATAATTTATATCCTCATAAGATATTATATTCAAAGGATATTTAAGAAAAATGATATAAATTGGATCTACTACAAGACACGTTTAAGGAGGATCCAAATTTGTGTTAACAAACATTTATACACATTCTTTAATATTTTATTTTTGATACTAGATTTTATATTATTATTTTATATGAAATATTTCATTTCAATCATGTATTACGTATACCATATCAACTCAATCAATAAATTATCAAAATATATTTATTTTTAAAAATAATCAATATTATTATAATAATTTTTTTGTTCATAACAGAACTCAAAATTAATAAATTCATCTGGAATTCTTTTACAGTATTTCAATAATCATTTATTGAAATAGTTTTGTACTTATATTTTCTAACATGAAATATTTTATGTTGTTTCATGTAATGATTACGATGAAATTTGATTTTTGCATAATCTATAATCATGATCATCCGATGAAATGGATTTATAAGGTTAAAGTTTTGTTTATATCTTACTGATAAGATAATAAATGAGTTTGTCACACTCGACGAGCAGTAGCACTGCTGAGCACTACTAACAATGAGCATCGTTGAGCATAATTAATTTAATTTATAAAATTTAAAATTCTAAAAGACTCAATATATAATTATAAATTAGTTAAAAATTTAAAGATAAATTATTTAAAATTTATTTTCTATAATTTTTAACAATAAAAATATTATTTTAAAAACTATTAAAAAAATTATGCAAAATAATGTAATTAATATTTTATTTTAAATAATTTACCTTTAATTTAGTAATTAATTTATAATTAGACGTTAAATCTTTTAAAAATTTATTTTTTTATAAATTAAATTAATGGTTCGTGTTAGTGATGAACAGAATAATGCCCCGCCTATAATTATGTGACACGAAAGTTTAATAAGTTTTGTTCCCATTAATTTCACGATAACGACTAAGTGTTGTTATTCTTAAAAATGTCATTATTATTATTATTATTATTATTATTATTAATACCCTAAATTCTTGATAGTGACTAAAATATAAGTTTTAAAAGTTTAGTGATTAAAGTATAAATTGTAAAAGTTTAGAGATCAAAAGTGTAATTTTGGAAAATTTATACATTTTAGCATGTAAATGAACAAATTGGCCTAAAAAAGAATTTTTGTAGTAATCAGATTTTCGATATGAGATTTGTGTTAAAAGTTATAAAAATGATAATTTTGATATGGAAATCAGATAATCGGATCGAACCGGAATTGCACGAAAATTTGAAGGATGCTAGATAAGTGTTAGAAATATTATTTCCATGGAAATATTATTTCCATATTTTAGATCATATAAATTTAGTTCAGATCAGTGTAATTTTTCAGATTAGAGTGAACAATGGGAATTTAGTGACTAAAATATAATTTTTGAAAATTTCATGATTAAAGTATAAATTCAAAGCCAAATTGATTCATATTTGACTAAATAATATTTTAATAGAGGATAATGTAATGGAATTTAGTATTTTTCAAGTTTCATTAATGGTAAAAATAGAATTTCTCAATAATTGAATTTTAAATTCAATTATATTGATTTTAAAGCCAAGTGTAAGATTAAATATTACTAGAATATTCAAGAGAAACAAATTTACAGTTTCAAACTCCATCTTGTCCGTGAGCTCCATTGCAAAAGGTAAGGATTTTTGTTTTGATTTTTAAGCTTGCATGATTGATTTTTGTACTAAGTTCTGAAATAGATAATTAATCTACATGAAATTCTCTATTTTTTTGTGTGAATAGTATATGGTGAAGAAGCTTATATGTTGAGATTGAAAGTTGGGGTTTATGGATTTTAAAGAATTGATGAAAGATTATTATGTTTTTGAGGTTGGAGATTAATTCTAAGGCATAGGAGATGATTAAAATCATGTGTAGAGCTTGGTAGTGTATTCGGCCATGATTAGGATTTTATGATATTGGTTGATTTTGATGTAATTTGAAGTTGTGATGATTAGAATAACATGAATTTGATGTTAGGAAGTTGAATTCATGCTTGAAATTGAATGTAAATCTTGAATGTAAATCAAGCCCTAGAAGACTTGTTATATTCGGATATAAAGGGAAAATTAGGGGAAATATTGAAAAATTTCCTATGGTCTATAAATGATATTAGAAGTGTTTTATGTATTTTGGAGATCAATTTGGATCAATTCGGAAGCTTGAGTTAGTAAAAAGGGCTAATATACAAGTTTTGAGAATTGTGAGATATTATTGCAAGAATGTGATACTTGGGGTATTTAATGTTAATTTTTAACATTGAAATGCCAGAATTTTAAGTTTAGAAAGTTGATTGGAACCAAAATTCAAATTTAGTAAAACTTGAGCGTGGAATTCGAAAGATCCCAGAATTATAGGGATTTGATTCCAAGTTTTTAAATGTGAAAATATCATTAGGGTAAAATAGAACAATTCTGGAAATTTTAATAGTATGTTGATTTTTGAGTTTAAATCATTGAGTTGGGATTAGATTGCAACTTTATAAGGTTGGTGGTTGAATTCGAAAAGCCTAATAAAGTTTAGGATGAAATTGCAAGCTTTTGAAATGCTTAAGTGTTGATTTGAATATTCTATTAGGATGCTGGAAATTTTACAAATTTATAGGAAATGATCATAATGGTGAAGGGCTATTATTAATTTAGTGGAAAAGTTAAGGTGAATTCTAGAAAGAATTCATTATTAGTGGCTTGATTTTGTAATTAGCAAAAGTTGATGGGTTGATGGTGGAAATAAATATTTATGGAATTAAATAAATATTTTGAGAAGTTTGAAATTATGATGGAAATACAATTTAGTTTTATATCGATTTAAGTATCAAATTTATTTCTATCGAATTTTATATTTAAGCTTAGATTATGCTAGTTCTATACTAACATATATTTTAAATATTTTATGTTATTTATGACATCGTCATACTATGATAACACTAGTAATCCAAGTAACTCAAAAAGAAAGGAAAAAGTGCGGGATTGAGAAGATTATTGTGGAGAAAGTTCGATGGTGAAGTAAAGGTGAGTGCACATTTAATTCATACTTATGTTATCGAATGAACATTGGCTTGCGGTGAGTCAATGTAAGAGCTACTACATCAAGATATGATTCTTAATGATATGTAATTTGTGGTTGAAGTCTATCTGTTCATTTGATAAGTAATAAAATTATGGAATTAACTAAGGATGCTAATTAGGGAAAGTTGTCTAGAAATTTATGTCGAATAGTAAGTTTAGAAATTCACCATAAATTATACAGAATTTATTAGAGAATGAATTTTATGCCTCTGGATTAGTATATCATTTTGTTTAGTTTAAAGCAAACGGATATTGATTTCGATGAGTTTGCAAAAAGATATGAATTTTTAATTGAGGATAGGTCAGAAAACATAGCGGCAAATTCAGCTTAAAACAACTTTTGTAAGTCAACTCTGAAAATTCACTATAAATTGTACAAGTGTAACTAGGAGTGCCTTATATGGTTAGATTCGTATTCGAGTCTAGTTTCTTTTGGTATAATCAAAATAATTTCTAACTATATATATATTAATACAGAATAATATTTATTTGAAGGTAGTGCAAACTGTCAAAATATGAAATTTTGATAAATTATGTAGTTGAATAATTTGAACTCAAAGGATCGACTCTAAAGCATAGTGAGACTTATATTCTGATTTATTAATAAAATGTGAAAGTGAATGCAGTTTATTTATTTAGTTATTTTGAGTGAGGACTACTTGTGATAAGTCAACCTCGTATTATTTAAATTATGTTTCCTATTGTAAATACGAATTATTTTCATAATATTTGTATCAAGTTTATGGATGTTTTAGGGTATGAACTGCTCATGTTCTATTTTGACGATGATGAGTAAAAGTGATTATGAATTTGAAATATTGTTTATGAAACAAATAAGACATGATCTGAAAGCCCATTGTATGTTGCATTAAGAGTTGTAGGTACAATTGGCAAGCCATGAGGAGGAGTGATTATGATTATGATCTGGTACTTTTGTGCACATTATGTGTAACACCGTTAGTACAAATGATATGAATGCACTTGGGGTGCATATTCTGATTACGATGATAGCACTGAAGTGCTTATTGCGCACACTAGACTTGTAACATCCCAAACTATGGGTTAGTGACTTAATTGTAAAGTTTCAGAATTTGGTGATTAAAGTAGAAGAATGGATTAGTTCAATGATTTATTTGGAAATAAATCCTAAAAATTGTTAGTAATTATTAAAGGAATTAAAGGGTAAAATGGTCTTTTTATCTAAAAGATAATTATCTTATCTCTTTATTAAGAGATAAGCATGTAGGGAGATATT